CAGTTCCACTGGGCGTTCAGCTCTCTACATTCGCCTGAAGGTACCTATCTGATGCATAGAGACTTTGTTTTGTGATACCTGCAGAAGAGTTGATTTTTCCACTAGTTTGACCTCCACAATTAAACTTTTGTCATTGAGGAATTGCTTGAATGATTAAGAGAATAGCACCTGATTAATCTTCAGTCGATCAACCGATCAATAAGCTTAGTAATAGTTTCAGCTTAAGTCCTATATATCTCTGTAGTACTTTCTGGGTAATTATCTCAAAATGGTGTTATACACTTTGCAAATGGAAATTAGTTTAGAAGGTTATTAATTGAGATATGTTTTATGTAATTAACCCCTTCAAGTATATGTTTGGTTTGTGTTTGTGCCATTTTCCTAAAGAACACGTCACTTGAGTACCAAGCTGAGGAACTAAAGTCCACTGATGAAGAGTTTCATCCATCACAGAGAAACGATGCTGCTGCTGATTCTCCGTCCTCTCCTGATCAAACTAGGTAACGCACAACAATAAGGGTGTTCCTAACGATTATTTTTCAAATCGATGAAAGATTTGACTAGTCAGTAAATCTACCGCCAATAATTGTTATGATTATTCTAAAGATAATTTGTTTATTACTCAATTACTAAAAAAAATCTCCATCCATCCATCGTCAACCGCTTATCCTGCGTACAGGGTCGTGGGGGGCTGGCCTATCCCAGCTGACATTGGGCGAAAGGCGGGGTACACCCTGGACAGGTCGCCAGTCCATCGCAAGGCCACTATAAAAATCTATCCAAAATAAATATTTAAAAAATCATTAATTCAAAATTTTATTCAAACATCCTAAAAATTAAACACATAAAGACTATTACAAATAATAATAATGATGATAATATTAGCATATCTTAGAATGGGTCTGATTTCCACATCACTGCTGTATGAAGTAAATTATAACAATAAAATACCTTAACTTAAAACTTTAAATGTTTCTGTAACGGATTTACTTAGCTTTGTTATAAGCCAAAAAAAAAGCGACACACGACTTAAATTACTGGATTATTTCTGCATTAACCTTCTTCCATCCTCCATCTTTCAGTTTATTGTTTCCCCGGGTTCAGTCTGACAGGAGTAGGTCCAGCATTCCTTGGATCAGTGAACCACAGAACCACGTAGATCTCAGGATCTGCATCCTGGACTCTCGGATCGATGTGCTTTCAACCAAAGGTAGATTTAATCAGTCAGTCAATAAAATTATGTCCAGACGTAACCAGTATAACATTTAGTGTGGAGTTGGTGTGTTGTCAACAAGTGGTCTTTGCCTTTAATCATCAACCAGCTTACCTCCTGCTGAATGCTGTCTTTGTGTTTCAGTGTATAGGAAGTACCCAGTGATGGAGTTGCAGTGTCGTGGTGGCCTGCAGGAGGCAGACTTTCTGGACCTACTGAGATCAACCTTCCCTCAGCTGGCTGCTCAGAAAGATTTTGACTTCTTCACAGCTGATTTGAAGAAGAACTCCGGCCTTTGAAAGTAAAGACACTGACACCAGAGGAGATCTGGAGGATCGTCGGTTCCACTGGGAGTTCAGCTGTATACATCCGACCCAAGGTACATATTTACATTTATTCACTTGGCAGGTGCTTTTATCCAAAGCGACTTACATTTGAGGAACAACTTACAAGCATCAATAAAGCATCAATACGGTAAAATATCTAAAAGTGACAATAGATTCTAGTAAGAGCAGCAATAAACACTATTCAGAGTTAGCGCGGTCCACATCAATTGGGTAAATGCTAGAGAAGTATGTAAGAGTTAACGGATGGAGCTATCAATATAAGAATTGTAAGGACAAAGAGGAAGAAGAAGAAGAGGACAGGAAGTGCATGTTAGAAGTGTTATAAGAGAAAATGTTCTCGGAAGAGATGCGTTTTCAAGAGCTTTTTTAACTTAGAGAGGACGCCCCTGCTGTGATGGTGTGTGGTAGCTCGTTCCACCATCGTGGTCACAGATGAGAACAGCTGGGACTGAATATGCTTTGTGTGAAGGGATGGCAGAGCCAGGCGGAGTTCGTTGGAGGAGCGTAGCGGCCGAGAAGGAACGTAAACTTGTATTATGGAGTTTAGGTAGATGGGTGCAGACCCAGTAGTCACTCTTTATGCGGCATTAGTGACTTGAATGTGATTTGGGAGGCCACGGGGAGCCAGTGGAGGTCACACAGTAATGGAGAGACATGAGTCCTTTTGGGCTGATGAAAAACCAGACGTGCTGCTGCGTTTTGAACCATTTGTAAGGGTTTCACCGCACAAGCTGAAACTAGGAGGGCATTGCAATACTCAAGGCAAGAGATAACCATGGCCTGTACCAGGGGATGTGTGGCATACTGAGTAAGGTAGGGGCTGATTTTTCTTATGTTGTATAGAGCAAAGCGGCATGACCGAGAGACGGTAGCAACATGGTCTGAAAAGGAAATCTGGTCATCAATCATGACATCTAAGTTTCTCACTACCCTGGTGGGAGTGATGGACGGAGAGCCAATTTGTAGTTTGGTGTTATAGTGGATAGATTGCTTGAGGTTTGGTAGGGACGTCTGGCTGGAAGGGTAGGTAGAATTGTGTGTCGTCTGCGTAGCAGTGGTAAGAGAAGCTATGCGAGCAAATTATCGGCCCCCATGAGGTGGTGTAAATTGAGAAGAGAAGGGTCCCTACCATCATGCCCGTTAATCGGAAGGTCGGCGGTTCAATCCCCTGCTCCTCCAGGCTGCATGTCGAAGTGTTCTTGAGCAAGATACTGAACTCCGAATTGCCCCTGGCGGCTGTTCCACCAGTGTATGTGTGTGAATGTTAGCTTCTGTTTGAGCACTTAGGCTCAGTGAATGAATGCGCAATACAACTACGGAGCATTTACATGTATGCCTTTCTTTTCTTTGTTATGTTTGCTTTTTCATTCTGATGTTTATAAGTTTCTGTTAGAGATGTGTGTTATTTATGTTTTGTGGAGGTTAAGGAACTTTGTTTAGATGGTGTTGTTATTGGTTTTGCTTTTTATGTGTTTAACACATTTAATAAATTATGTTTGGTTTATTTTGACATTTTCCTAAAGAACACGTCATTTGGGAAACAAGCTGAGGAACTAATGTCCACTGATGAAGAGTTTCATCCATCACAGAAAAACGATGCTGCTGCGGATTCTCCATCCACTCCTGATCAAACCAGGTAACGCACAACTGCACAACACAACTTTTGCTTTAAATAAGATACGAAACTCAGAGTGGTTACAACTTCTTATATGATCCAAAACATGGCAACACACCAGAAGAGATACAGTCGCAGGAAAAAGTTTGTAAAAACCTTTGGTATCACCTTGATTTCTGCATAAATTATGTGATCTGATTTTCAACTAAGTCACAACAATAGACAAACACAGTCTGCTTAAACTAATACCACACAAACAATGTCCAAACTACAGACTACACCTTAAATTACTGGATTATTTCTTCATTAACCTGCTTCCAATCTCCATCTTTCAGTTTGTTGTTGCCCAGAGTTCAGTCTGACAGGAAAAGGTCCAGCAAACCTCTGATCAATGAACCCCCGAACCACGTAGATCTCAGGATCTGCATCCTGGACTCAGAGATCAATGTGCTCTCAATTAACGGTAAATTTAAAATATTCAGTAAACTATGTCAATAATTAAACCAGTATAACTTTTAGTGTGGAGTTTTGTGTTGTCGGTTGGTGGCCTTCACGTTAAGTTAGCCTTCAGCAGGAGGGTAAGCTAGGCTGTCTTTGTGTTTCAGTGTATAAGAAGTATCCAGTGCAGCGAGTGCAGTGTCCTGGTGGCCTGCATGAAGCGGATTTTCTGGACCTACTGAGATCCACCTTCCCTAAGCTGGCTGATCAGAAAGATTTTGACTTCTTCACAACTGATAGGAAGAAGAAACTTGAGCCTCTGAAAGTAGAGACGCTGACACCAAAGGAGATCTGGAGGACCATCAGTTCCACTGGGTATTCAGCCCTCTACATCCGCCTGAAGGTACCTATCTGATGATGAAGGCACGAGTCTTTTTCTGATGCAAACGTTAACCTCAGGGACAAGATCTGTTCTGTACAACACCCTCTTTCACCATTGTATACTTTCTTATTTTGTACTTTCCTATTGTTATACTTTCCTGACAGTATAACAATTTAGCCTTCAGCTTTTCAGTGCATTTGAGCTTCTGCTTGTTGATTGGTCAGCTGATCTGATGGACATTAAAATGGAAATTCTATTATTAATATTCCTCCAGAGGTGTAAAAGGGAAAAACAGCAGCAGCAGAGGCTCTGAACGTCTTCATGGTGATTCCACAAATGGAAATAATTCCATATGTGTGGAATCCAAATTTGAAGTTTTAGTTGGGAAAGGTCAAAATAACAGTTTTTTCCTGAGAACTTCCTTTTTAAAGCATCAGTATTATGTATGTTTTTGGTAGAAATTTGACTTGAGAACCAAACCTTTTTTTTTTTTTTAGCAGTCTGAGGAAGTCCAGGCCAGAGTCAAAGAGCCACAGACAAAAGGTGCTGCGTTCAAAGTTCAGCTTCACAGGAGAAGGTCACGCATACGTCGGTCCAGTGAACTACAGAACCACATCGATCTCAGGATCTGCATTGTGGAGGACCCTCAGCTCGAAGCGCTCTCAGCCAGAGGTAAATTGAATCAGTGCGATCTGTATTGAGGCGTACGTCTCTAACTCTTCAGTGCGACACACATCGCAGAGAGTTGCCCATTAAAGAAATCACCATGTCAAAAATACTGAGTGCATCATGCAAAGAAAAGCAGTTGTACTGTACACGTGTGAGCCAGGCACAGATATTTTACAATTACTTGTTGCATATAATGTTTGTTTTTAGTATTGGATAAGTACTTGCAGAGGCCTGATTGCGGATATCCAAGGATACATGGTAGATCGTTGGCAGCTATATTATTAGTTGATAAGTAAGAAAATGTTGTATTTAATGTTCCGAAAATTACGCCTAATAATGTGGAGCAAACCGAACAGCACCTGAAACCTGGTTCTGAACATGATTCTCACGTCCACATTAGTACTGTGGATCAGGGCTCAGTAATGAGTATTAAGTGGAGCTTGCATCAGGCATTAGTTAGTCATCATCACACACTCAGAGGCCGAACATGGCCGCTGATGAAACTCAACCGAGTCGACCACAATCAGATCACAAAGTCGCTTCTTAAAAACTGAAATCTGAAATCTGCTACCACCCCCCAGTCCCTAATCATAGTGTTCATGTACTTTCCCCTTTAAAACACACTACCGTGCATGTAGTCACGTGAGTCTGAAGCACACAGAGATATTAGCTAGTGCTAACCTCCTCACTTTCCAGCAGTTGGGAAACAACAGGCTCATTCGCTCATCCACTCACTTGCTACGAACACACATTGCACCTCGAAAGACTTTTGCTGCTCTTATAACAGCATCTGTCACATAGATGTCCTTTTAAGAAATAGGAGACGAAGCAAGACAGTGTGCACGTGAAAATCATTTACATTCATTTTGCAACAACATGATTATGTGAAATTTTAGTAGTTGCGGTCATAATTCAGCAGTAGAAGCGCCGAATAAAGGGGGAACACGTCTGTGTTATGTGGATGTCAACATTATGTTATCAGTTAACATGTAGATAATCAGTCTGTGAATAGAAAAAATATCCCACCTAGAAAACTAAATAATTGTTCTTTAATCGTGATCGTAAAATTGGTTTTGAATACTGAATGCTGTCTGTGTCTTTCAGTATATAAGAAGTACCCGGTGCTGCTGCTGCAGTGTCCTCGTGGCCTACAGGAGGCGGACTTCCTGGACCTGCTGAGGTCCACCTTCCCTCAGCTGGCTGGTCAGAAACATTTTGACTTCTTCACAACTGATTTGAAGAAGAGACTCCATCATCTGAAAGTAAAGATACTGACACCAGAGGAGATCTGCAGCACTATCAGTTCCACTGGGCATTCAGCCCTCTACATCCGCCTGAAGGTACATATCTCATTCACGAAGGCAGAAGTCTTTTTTTCTGATGCAACACTTCAATCTCAGGGACAAGATCTGTTCTAAACATTCTGAAGTTCTCTGAAACCCAACATTTCCAGATTTAAAATAACACAGATTTTTCCTTTTTAAAGTTTCAGTATTCGGGTTTGTTTTCGGTAGAAACATGACTTGAGAACCAAATTCTTGTTTCAGCCTCCTGCGCAAGTGAAGACCAGAGAGAAAGTGCCACAGAGAAAAGATGCTGCTACAGATTCTCCGTCCACAGATCAAACCAGCCTGAACACAAGGTTAAAAACACACATCATTTATACCTACATGCCTTTTCTGCCGTTAACTGACTCCTAATCTTATTTCTTTATGTTATTGTCGCCCAGAGATCAGTCTGACAGCAGTAGGTCTGGCAGACCTCAGGTCAGTGAACCACAGAAACACGTAGATCTTAGGATCTGCGTCCTGGAGGACTCGCAGCTCGATGTGCTCTCAACCAGAGGTAAATTTAAATTCTCTATTCAGATGCCCAATCTGACTTTGGATGAAACAATACTAGTAGTGACTGTGCTGTAGTTGCAACAGCTAGTTGGCTACGATAGCTTCCGCCATCTTGGACTCTACTCCTCTCTGTTCACTCAAAGGTCAGCTCTGTCAGCTTGTTTTATTCTTGGTCAGCTGCTGTAATTCACAGGTCAAAGTTAATGACAGCTTTAGTTACTTATGATAAAAAAAAAGTTCATGGCTCGGCCAGTTGAAAACCCAAAACTTACTTTAGAAAAAAAGATCACTGGATCAGTCAAACCTTTGAGAGAATACAGAGAGAGTTGCTTAAAAAATATTAAAATACTATATATATACACACCGTATCTCACAAAAGTAAGTACACTCCTCACATTTTTGGCGATATTTGGGGTGTGTGTGTGTGTGTGTGTGTGTTTCATAAAGCACAATAAGCCTTAAAAAAAAAAACAGTTGCTGCTGCATCATTAATTAAATCTCATGAGCAGGGTCAGTTTTGGCCTTTTGACGTTACTCGGTTACGTTACTTTTCTCTGTTATGCTTCAGTGTATAGGAAGTACCCGGTGCTGGAGCTGCAGTTTCCTGGTGGCCTTCAGGAGTTGGACTTCCTGGACCTGCTGAGGTCCACCTTCCCTCAGCTGGCTGCTCAGAAACACTTTGACTTCTTCACAACTGATTTGAAGAAGAAACTCCAGCCTCTGAAAGTAGAGATGCTGACGCCAGAGGAGATCAGCAGGAGCATCCGGCATTCAGCCCTCTACATCCGACTGAAGGTACCGTGTCTGATTTTTTGTGTGTTTTCTAATACACTGCTATTTACTATTTACAGGAAATCCTTTGATGCTAGCGGGTACTTCTGTGCAATTAAAGAGGATGGCGTTGCTTTTTGCTGATTTATGATTTGGGAACAAAACTGTTCTAGGCACAAGAGGAAGTCCGGTCCAATAAGGAAGAGCTTCGTCATGCTGATGCTGCTAAAGATTCTTCATCTACTGATCAAACCAGCCTGAACACAAGGTAAATGAGGAGAGTTGTTAAATGGAAAAAAGCTATTTCACAGGAACCAAACATATTTGTTCTCTGTGACTTTCTAACATCTGTTGTCCTGTCATAGAAAACAAAGTATATTTAGTCTTTAGGTAATCTGGGATTAGGGCATTCTCCATCCATCTATCGTCAACCGCTTATCCTGCGTACAGGGTTGCGTGAGGCTGGAGCCAATCCCATCTTACATCGGGCGAAGTCCATCGCAGGGCTTGGGCAGTCTCATAATATTAAGAACTCATAAAACACTATGTGCAAATAATGTATTTGTGAATCTCCATCTGTTTGCTTGGATGCTTTTGAGACTGTTCTACAGCACCGTTTGTGTCACACTAAATATTTAAAAGTGTAGTGCAGAACAAGCCTGTCCAGTAGATCACATGAATGCAACATTCATGGATGCCAACCGCTGTTAAACTAAACAGAAGAAGAAGAGCATCAAACAAATGGCCCTTACCCATCGCTGGTACCAGCTCGACTCGGCATTTGGAGCCAAGTCCTCCGTTTTCCATTGCAGATATAGTACTCCATCAATGTAGCTGGTCGTCATAGCAAAGCCGCACATAAATGGTGTAATCTTCAAAGCAGCACACACACATACCTCTCTATCGTCAACCGCTTATCCTGCGTACAGGGTCGCGGGGGGGCTGGAGCCAATCCCAGTTTACGGGGTGGCGTACACCCTGGAGTCAGTCCATCGCAGGCCACACATAGACAAACAACCACTCACCAATGAACCCACGACCTTCTTGCTGTGAGGCGACAGTGCTAACCACTGCACCACCGCGCCGCTCAGCTATTCAGCGTTCTGTTTAGTTAAATCAGAACGGTTGGCATCTCAACAAAGTTTATTGTACTGGAAAGGTTTGGTCTTCAATGCACTTTGTGTGACACAATCGGAAGAACAGATCCAGATTTACAGATCCAAATCAGCCATACATCCATTTTCTTACGCTTATCCGGGGTTAGATCATGATGACACCCAGATCCCATGTTGTCCCACCCATATTGTTTTGCAAGTGGCAGGAACGGCTGCCAGAAGCTTTTTACTGAGCCAGAGCTGTGAACAAACTCCAGTTATGGCTTGTAAATAATAATCAACCTTGAGTTAATCTTAAACTACTTAAAATGGATCAGAGAGCTGAGAGAACATGTCATTGGTAGAAACTGCAGTTTCTCTGAGTATATATCAGTAGTAGTTTTTTTTAGATATTGAGTAGGTTCAATGGCAATAATTGCTTTGGGTAAAAAAGCACCCTAAAAAAGACTTTCAATAAAAATCATTATAACCTTTCACACAATCGTCCAGCCTGAAAACTTTCAAACCGTTTTTCTCATTCCTCCAGCAGCTCAAGGCATGAAGACCATGAAGACATGGAAACAGAGGACACTGATGAAGATGAAGATGGTGGAAGATCAGAGTCAGCTGGCCTACCGGTTCTCTCTGAGGGCGCAGGGGACGGAGATGATCTGAGTGACGACGACCGGAAACAAGACACAAGTGAGAAACATCTGAGGGAGAGTGAACCTGAGAAGACGACTAGGAAGAAACGAGTCAAAACAAAGAGAAGGAAACGGATGAAGGCGTCGACTGATAAGAGTGACGCTTTTCTGTCCTGTAAAGTCTGCCGAGCTCCGCGCACCTCAAGGAACATGTTGATTAAACACGCCTGGCGTCATGTGGACGATCCAGAAAGGCTCTGTGGAGTGTGTGGAGAACAAGCAGAGTCTGTAGAGGAGCTGAGGAGTCACCTTCAAAGTCACCAGAAAACACACCGCTGCAACGTCTGTGGAAAGTCTTTCCTCTCCACCCACGGCCTCTCCGGACACGTCGCTCGACACAAAGGGAAGAAACCGTACGAATGTAACATTTGCCACAAATCGTACGCTCAGAATTGGGTGCTAAACCATCACAAGTGGGTCCATGAGGCGGACAGGCCTCACAAATGTGACATTTGCCAAAAATCATTTTATTCAAAGATGGTGCTGAAACGTCACAAGGTGAGCCACACGGGTGAGACGCTGCACCGCTGTGAAACCTGCGGGAAATCCCTCAGCAGTCTTGTATCTTTATCCCAACACATTTTGAGGCATTCTGCGAAAAAAGCAGAGTTCGCCTGTGAAATCTGCAGCCGCAGATTTAATACAAATCAGAAGTTAAAGATGCACAGGAGGAGCCACTGCAAAGAGGAGCCGCACGTTTGCAGCAAATGCAGCAAAGGATTCTCCAGCAGCTCCATGCTGGCGGCTCACATGAGGGTCCACACCGGGGAGAAACCGTACAAGTGCTCTGTCTGCGACATGGCCTTCAGTCACAAGCACTGTATGAAAAGACACATGACTACGCACGGATCAGACTTATGCAAGACTGAAGCTCAGAATCTATCTGACAGAATTAACGGAGCTAAAAGTGTTGAACCTGTCCTGTGATTTCAGATTATCTTATTCTTTCTTTGCACAAACTGTTTTGTTGTTTAACATGTTGAAAAGACTGGCAGTGCGTGATGCTACTTAAAAAAGTAAGTTGGCTATGATCTACATTTTGTCACAAAATCCCCTAAAGACTCAAACCAACAAGAATCTTAACACGCTGTTTCAGGAATAACGGGTGGAAATGGTTGATCGTAAATGTTTATTTACAGAAATTAGAGTTACCATTTCAAGTGCACAAAAAAGTGCTTCAGTATTTTTATAAAAAAGAAAAATGTACAACATCAAATGTTTGATGGAAAACAATCTTAAGGAAAGTTGATGGACAATTTTACATAGAAATCTTGAGATTGAGATAATTTTACTGTGAATTGTTAGAATGTATTTCCTTTTATTAATGGCATGTTTTATTAAATGTAGGACTTTTACCAGCTAATGTTTCAAAACACAGGAATAATGCGTGCGTGGGAGTAGTTTGTTAACCAACGAAGGTTGAGGTCAAGGGCAACTGGACCTTGTAGAAGAAAAACTAGAAGACGTTTCGTCCCTCATACAGGAGACTTCTTCGGTTCTGACTGACAGGTAAGTAAACTAAGCTATTTAACCTCAGTGGGATCGTTAGCTAGGATCGTCGATACCGCTGGTTCGTTAGTGTTCCTGACTGTGGTAACGACAGTCGTCATGGCCAAGACTGAACGACCGTCGTTGGTATCTTCACCTGAGGCCAAGAGGAAACGCTTGTTGAGTTTCCTGGGAAGTGATGAAAGGACAGCATTGTAAGTGGGGGATAAGTGGTGGCGTAGACCCCCTCCTCTGTTCAATGACGGCTTCTCCACCCTGGTGTAGATGCTTCCTTGACACCTCTTTCAAACCATCCATCTTCTCTGTCTAAAATGTGCACCTGGTGGTCCTCAAACGAGTGTCCTCTGTCCTTCAGATGTAAGTAGACTGCAGAGTCAGAATAACTTGAGGTTTGTTTTGAATGCAGCAGTTGTTGACACTGTCTTGAGTTTTGTTTACCAGTAAACAATTATAACGTGTTGAGGAAATCATGCTCTGTGTTTTCTATGAAGTTTCTTTGAAAAAAAAAATGCACTTTTATTGGAAAGCATATGCTGATTGTATCCAACACTGCCTGTTTGTTATTGGTTTTAAATTTCTTGTTTATTATCTTTAATTTCACCCTTCGTGTATTTTATCTTTACTTTTGTTTTTTATTTCAGCCACTTGCTGGATGTTGTGCTTAAGAGAGAAAAGTGAAATAAAAAAACATGAAGAAAAATAGGTGGCTTAGATTCATAGCTAGTGACTAAACACAGTTGATAAAAAAATGCTTTTGACTGACTGTGATACAGCTTGGTGATTACAAAGGATGTGACTGGCTCAGTTGTGTCAGAAAATATTAAGTATATTCTCATCGAATAGGGTTAGTATACAAATAACCCGTTCAAAACCCAACACTTAGTGATTTAAGGAGTTTACTGATGGTCAAATAGCTTTAATGTAACTGCTTGAATCTCGGTAAGTAGAATTAACTAATCTCTTTTCGAGTAATTTCATTCATTTTATCTGGTCAGTGAGCATTTCCACAAGCTGCACACTCAATACTTTACATTGTAGCAAAGTGTCATTTCTTCAGTGTCGTCACATGAAAAGATATAATCAAATATTTACAAAAATGTGAGGGGTGTACTCACTTTTGTGAGATACTGTATTCCCATAATTTCATCGCAAAAAACTGCCCCAAAACACTGAAACTTACATCGCATTTTTTTATTTATTTATTTTACGAAAAGCGGCTGCAAAATCAGGCATTTTAGGCTGCAACAATCACAGAAATACCCTGCAAAATCCTGGATGGACTGGTTTCGTGCGGCACACTGCTGTGGCTGAACTGTCACGTGACAAATGAACGACTCATAGACCCGTAGTTATGAGATGCAAACGAATCATTTCTGTTTCCTGAGTGATCGCAAGAGTCCAAGACCATTCAAGGATGACAGAAAGTGAACGACTCTCTCAATGAGACTACACGTTATTCCCAAGTCATAAAAGATTAGTTCGAAATAAACAAATCGCTCACAACCGAAACAAAACTAGCCTCAGATAGCAGTTCTATTCGCTAATCCCGTGTTTGTTGCCCACTAGCCCGCATCCGGTTCTTGTACCAGTGGGTTATTGTGGTGGGGAGCACATGAAGGTTCAGTCACATCTATCATGCTGTGGCAACCCTTTTTTACACTATTGCTGTATGATTTTATACAAAAAAAAGACGTCTCTTAGTGTGGATTCATAAAAAGATTAGTAAAAACAAAGAACCAAAAAGCAGACTGACAAATCCTGCAGACTGAGAGGTAAGATTTTTATCCAGTAGGCTGCTTTTAAAAGACTTTGATCATTAAAGTGAACAGTTAATTTGGTTTAACGGTTTTCAGTTCTCCAGTTTTACACTGGGTCATTTCTAAAAACAACATTTTGTATTGCAGTTTGGACTGTAGAAAACGCAGCTACATTATTCACAGAAGAGTGGATGTCCATTTACATCAGTAGGTCTTATTACCTTCAACTGTCCTTTTATCATCCCGATACAAGAAGTAGAAGAAACTAAACACATTTAGTCTGCAGTGAAGATAAGGGAATCGTTAAGAAATACTGTTAACTCTCTTTTACTCCACTGGATGATTGTCTTTAGGTTATTTTGTCTTTAGGTTATGCCATGTGCCAGCCTGCTTCAAAGCCTCCACCATACAGGACCGGTTCCCCTCAAGGCTGCGTTCTTTCCCCCCTGCTCTTCTCCCTGTACACCAACAGCTGCACCTCCAGTCTGTCAAGCTCCTGAAGTTTGCAGATGACACCACCCTCATTGGGCTCATCTCAGGTGGGGACGAGTCCGCCTACAGGTGGGAGATCGACCATCTGGTGACCTGGTGCAGCCAGAACACTCTGGCGCTCAACGCTCAGATGACAGTGGAGATGGTCTTGGATTCAGAAAGAGCCCACAAAAACAGTTTCTTCCCATCTGCAGCTAGCCTCATCAACAAGACCTGGGCCCCCCACTGACCCCTCCTTCAAATACTGTATATCTTTGCACTTATTTGTTTTTTGTTGTTCAGTGTTAATCGTTATTCTTCTGTTTGTCAACAAAAATATTGCTCGCATGTGTAAAAACTAGTTGGCAATAAAAGCTTTTCTGATTCTGGTTTTTGTTGTGAAGAAACAGCGGCACCGTAATTATTAGCCGACAGGAGGCAGAAAATAACCAGATGAACGGGCCGCTTTGTTTGTGCGTCTCGCCGGACACAATTTGAAGCCGCACCAAATCCAGAAACCACACCGTTCAAACGAGCAGGTTCTTCCGCTTAAAAAACACAACGTTACAGCTGTAAAAGTAAATTAAAGATGATTTACTGGATGAAGAGGAACAAAGGCGGCTCGGGGATTCCCGACAGCGTCAGTATCATGTCTAAGTCGGAGATCCTGAGAGAAATCGTCACCGAGAAACTGACAACAGCCGCGCAGGAAATCTTCGCGGTTGTGGAGAGAACCGTAGCCGGGTACGAGGAGGAGGCTTCGGGTCTGAGGCAGGAGATCGACCGGCAGAGGAGGCAGCTGGAGGCGGTGCTGCAGCCTCGGGTCAAACTACAGAGAAGAGGTCAGTGGCTCAGTTATTACAATAATAAATAACGCTGTTAAGTTACACAGTCACAAAAACTGTGTTATTCTAAGTTGTGGAACTTCATTTAAAAAAACGCTAATTTAAAGTTTCTTTGCTCGCTGACAAACCTGCAGACTCCTGAGGACATAAAGTGAAAATGACACACATTTTCATGATGTGACTTACAAAATCGGCACAGAAAAAGTTAAACTTGATGTTGTAAATGCTGTTCATGGTGCAAATAATGGGACGTAACTTTCTGGACATTGTTTACATATGTGTTTAAGCTTCGCCTAGTTCTGTACGATGAAGCTGTTATGAAAACACAAATGGCTTTCGGGTGTTCATAGCAGCATTTTTATGAAATATTTGTTAAATATTGAGTTTCTTTTTGCCTCTGATTGAGAACAGAAGACCTGATCCCACGTCAGGAAGGCCATGAGGCTGTTGTGAGGTTGGAAGAAGAGGAGGAGGAGCAGACACAGCAGTCAGGTGGGTCTTAACAATTTTCTTTCTTAAATATTTTATAAAATGAGGAAAACAAACCAATTATGAGGAACGAGTCAATTAAAAGAATGGGGGAATGTAAATGAATTTATAAACTAACCAAAGCTGTCAGATAGAGATGAAACCTGTGAAAATCTAGTAAAACAATTAAGGTGACTTGAAATTTTCATGGTTTTGAAAAAAATTGCTGAAAGTGATCAAAATGTATCAAAACGCATGTTGAAGCCATTTTACCAAGTTTTATATTGAAGACCACAGATACAATTAATGAATTAAATAAAATAATAACATCCAATACCTTTTATGTAAACTACAAATGTGTATTAGCATTAAAGATGTTATTTAATTGTATATCATTATGTGAGTAAATGCAGTGTCCTCATGCACAGTTATATAAATACAAATGACTCTGAAGTCTGTTCGAACAACTAAATCGACGACTGCCGGATTTTAAATGAACAAAACATGTTGTTTGGGAGACTAAACTGTGTAACGTGTTATCATGTGCAGTGGGCGAAGGGAGTCTGCAGACACACAACGCACACAGCTGCAGAACAACGTGTAGAGTTTTAACACTAACAGTTGACTCACCCTGCGTTCACTGTAAGGTCATTTTCTTTGATCGTGTTTCCCTCAGCTCCCTCAACATGACCAGACTTCAGACAGGCTGAAAAATCTTTTGACGTTTTGTCATTGACCCAAACAAATCCTCGTTGCATGCTCCACATGCGCGCCTGCTTCTGGGAGACTGTTGCTCACTCTGGTTGATGCCGGACAGTAGGTAGGTAGGTAGGTTTATTATCACAATATAACAAGTTAACAAGTGCTGAGAATGAATTAGAGTTTACGAGTCTGATAGCTTTAGTGGAAAAAGCTGCTCTTACAGATTTTACAGCTTTTAAAGCTGCAGTATTTACAGATTTTCAAAGCCTTGTAATTGAACACGGTTAACATCATAATTAAAATGTGTACGGTAATACTAACAATCGGGTTTATCATTAGTCCTATAACCATTTCATCCCTACCACATAAATTAGCTAAAATTACAATATTTCCGTCTGACATGTGGAGTAGAAAGTGGCGTGAAAAGTACCTCAAATTTTTAGTTAAGTATTTAACTTACTTGACTCTCTGATGAAATGTTTGAAATACTAAATGAAAGCGCTGAATGAAGTTGCACAGTCAGTTGAAGTGTGAACGCTGAGTGAAACTGAACCTCGGCACTGAAAAGAGTTGAAGTGTAGGTGATAAATGAAATGAGCAAGAAATTAATGCTGGTTCAAGTTTATATAGTGAAAGTTTCAGCTGAAGTGGAAGCTTTTAAATTAAAATGTGTATGAATGGAGGATGTTAGGAGGAGTTTTAGTTTACATATATTTAGTTATATTTTATGTGTTATTTAACTTTTAGCTGCACCTTTTTTAGAAATAGTTTTTTTTTTTTATATATTTTATTATTATTATTATATTATTTGATTTGGATAGTTAATTAATAGTTAATTTTAACAAACTGTTATGAGAATAAAAAGCCTGTCTTCTTAAATGTGATTGCTGGTTATTGTGGGGTATGAGAAGTTGTTATAGGCACTTTTTATTTTACAACCTTTGACTCTATCCGTGTCCAGATGTGGAGGTCAGTGTGAGCCCGGGCCCGTGGGATGATGATGATGATGATGATGATGAAGAGGGTGACGGTGTAGAGGAAGAGCAGCAGCTGTCAGCGCCACCAGCTACGAGCCCCAGACGAGAAGATCTGAAGGACCCAGACCATCAAATGAAACCAAGGTCACAACTCTCAGTACCACTTGAGACCACAGCTTAAGCAAAGTATGTGAATCATCCTTTTGTGTGCTCCTGGTCTGCTTTGAAGGGGAGTAGGGGGGCATATAAGGTCCAACAATTATTAAGAATCCTTTTTTTTGTTTGAGTATTTTTTTTCAATATGAACTTGTACAGTTGCGAAGCACAGAGGGGAAAGAAAGCAGTCTTGAAGGGAGCCGGTGCTGATGGTCTGAGAATCAGACATGTTTTTTTCATAGACAGTGTAATTAAGCTTTTAGCTGGTGATGTTAGTTAATCCTAATTTAATAAAAAGTAAAATTCTAATTCATTATTTTCTGGTTTCTTTGCTTTTCTGTAACAGTAAACTGAAACATTTAAGGATGTGTTAATTGGCAATGCAAACGTTAATGTAGCCTTGGCACGCTTATTAGTTTAGCATGGTTGCTAAGGATGGTTGTTTGGTTGTTGAGCAGCACGGTGCTGGTGATAGCAACATGTTGTTAGGTGGTTGTTCTTAGCTAGCACATTGTTAGCTGGTGATGTTGTACTGTAGCCAAATGAAAGGAAATTTTTATTCTACATCATACAATGGACAACAGTTTGTTTGTCCACAACACAAAGCAGCTCCATAAATTATTGGTTTTTCCAGTTGGAGAAACTTGACTGGCCTGTACAAAGTTCTGACCTTAATCCCATCCATCTTTGAGATGAATGTGAGCCCGATCTGGCAGTGCTGGACCTCACTGAAACCTCTGGTGTCTGAATGAGAACAAATTCCTGCAGCTGGTTCAGCATCTGGTAAAAGCTTGAAACCAGCAGTGTGGAGACTGTTGGAGCAGCAGATTGATGAACCACACATGGGTGTAATGATGCTTCAGTGTCCACAAACCTTTAGTCATGAACAAGTACAGTATGTTCACTAAAGTGATAATCGATAGTCAGAAGTGATATAACTGCAGTAAACACTAAGCTGTCTTACTTAATAACCTTCTAACAACCTTCATCCTCTAGGTCCATTTCCCCCACAGCCTGGTCTGACAGGAAAAGGGCCAGCAGACCTCAGATCAGTGACACACAGAGCCACATAGATCTCAAAATTCGTATCCTGGAAGACTCACAGATCAATGTGCTCTCAACAAGCGGTACATTTCAGAGACTTATACGTAATGATTAATTAGTGACTTCATTAATACTTTATCTGCACAGAGGCTTCTGTTGGAAAGACTGACTTATCCTCACAATAAATTGTTGTCTGTTTTAGGGCTTTATAAACTTCCGGTGCAGGAGCTGCAGTGTCCTCGTGGCCTGCAGGAGACGGACTTCCTGGACCTGCTGAGGTCCACCTTCCCTCAGCTGGCTGATCAGAAACAGTTTGACTTCTGCACATTTGGCAGGAGCAGGACGCCCCAGCCTCTGAGAGTAAACACGCAGACACCAGAGGAGATCTACAAGCGGCTCATCGACGCAAGAAAGACTTACCTCTTCATCCGACTGAAGGTACTTTGGACTAAAAACAGCATGAAACTGTATGTCTACACAGGACAGTGTCCTCTTTGCATCATCAGTGTCGTTTTTAAAGCAAAATATCCATTTGTCATTTTGATATTGTTTGATTTTTGCCATGCGGGGCAGTTGGCTTCTGATGCGGGGCATTTTCAGTTTCCATAAAAGAAGGCCTTTCTGTTTTTTTGGGAACAACCCTGTTACAGACCGGAGAGGATCCTAAGAGCAGCAGTGAAGACCTTCGACCTGTACAAAGCCGAGATGATTCTCCATCCAGCTCTGCCTCCACGTCCGCTGATCAAACCCAAATGAACCCCAGGTAACTAAAAACTAAAGAGAACGACACATCTGCTCACAGTTACAATAATAGAAATAATAATAATGATATTAATAATAATAATCCTTATTTATAGTGCAAACAAAATAAGATACACGGTAATAGAAGCAAGAAAGTTATGAAATTAAAATACAGTTTATATAAATAATAAATAATTAAAATCAACTAAAATCAGGAAAAGCTCTTCTATAAAAGTATGTTTTAAGAAGGGAGTTCACTGACGCGGCCTCGGGGTCCTGATTGCAAACGCTGTGTCCCCTTTAGTTTTCAGTCAAGACTCTGAACAGACTAAAGAACTGAGGATCTCAAGAGACGTGCTGGTGTGTATGTGACTGAAAGGTCAGAGATATAGAGTATCTCACATTAAGTGAGTACACCCCTCACATTTTTATATTATAATATTTGGTGAGGAAGTATGAGGAACAGTTAAAAACTATACATTTGTGGTCAGATATAGTCATATCCAGTAATTCCACAGAGGGAATGCTAAAAGTTGGGGTTTTCAACATATGGTCATGTTTGGTTATTGGGTCATCGAACGGTTTTCATACAAAACTCAATGTAACTTTGCTGTTATAGAAAAAAATGAACCGACTATTTCACACCACATCTCAGACATACTTATGCACTAAAGTTTAATTAATGTTTACATTTTTTCCACAGCTGCCCTGTTCAACATGTGGAAGGTGACAAAGTGGATGTTCAGTCCAGCAGATCAACATCACAACAACAGGACATGGAAACAGAGAAAGCTGATGATGAAGATGCTGCTGAGAGCCAAGTGGACTCCAGTGATGACGAAGACAAAGATGGAGATGAGGTGTTCGACGGAGACGACGACTGGAAACCAGATCCTGAGCTGCAGTCGCCAAAGAAGAGGAGGAAGAAAGAGTCTAAATTGTCTGGTGTGAAGGGGCAGTTGATTGGTAGCAGTAAAACGCCCTGTAAAGTCTGTGGAGTTTGGTACAGGAAACTGGGCAGTTTGATCAATCACGCCTGGAGTCACTTTGAGGATCCACTGCTTGTTTGTGGAGTGTGTGGAGAGAAGTTTGAATCTGTGGAAGAGTTAAAGGGACATTTCAGAAATGATCATAAAACTAACGACTGTTCATATTGTGGAAAGTCTTTCCTCACCAAAACTAGCCTCAACTCCCACAGCACTCTACACACAGGAGACAGACCGTTTAAATGTGACGTTTGCAACAAAACCTTTGCTCGATTGCCCACCTTAAGTGTTCACCGTTGGGTCCACAGGGCTGATAAACCACACAAGTGTGATATTTGCCCGAAGGCGTTTGGTCTAAAGACGCAGCTCAGAGCTCACAGCAAGATGCACGCAGGTAGAGACAAGTACCACTGCAATGTTTGTGGTAAATCTTTGGCCGACCTGCGATCTTTAACTCGCCACAAGTTGACTCACTCTGAGGAAAGACGTTACGGCTGTGAAGTTTGTGGGAAGCGTTTCAAACTGCCCGGTGGGTTGAAGTCGCACGAGAAGGTCCACACCTCCAGAGACCGGCCGTACCTCTGCCACATCTGCTGCAAGACGTTTGTGACGAATCACAGTTTAACAGCTCACATGCTAACGCACAGCAACGAGAAGCCGTTCACCTGCAGCATATGTAGCAAAGGCTTCGTGTCCAAGGGGGATCTGAACTCGCACATGCGTGTGCACACCAGTGAGGCGCCGTACGGCTGCTCAGAGTGCGGCCGCCGTTTTAAACGCAAGACTCACCTGAACAACCACGTGAGGAGCCACCTGGGCATCAAGCGGGTTTGTCTGTGGGGTTTGTGGGAAAGCGATCTCTCGCAAAGACCACCTGGCGGCACACATGAGGACCCACAACGGAGAAAGACCTTACAAGTGCACCGTCTGCAACAAAACCTTCACTCAGAGCCACTGTCTGAAAACACACATGAAGATCCACCAGGGGGAAGAAAACCTGAATTGACCAAAGTTTTCCCATTTTAGAGGGCTGCATGATGTTGGAGCCTGATCAGACAGAACGCGTTTTATGAAGTGAGAGACGCTGTTTTTTAACTGTATTCTATTGGCAGTGAGCGTTCTGCGTGCTGTTTATGCGTCCTGGGTGCCTCGCGCTCTGAGCGCACAGAATTGAAAAACCAAGACAGCTGTTTCAGTGGTTGCCTAGCATCATAATAAAACGCGGCGCACTGCTCTTTTCAAATCCAACCAAAAAAAGGCACTGCTGTGCACCTCGCGTTTGTGAACCTGCAAAGCTCTTTCTGTCTGATCGGGGCCTAACCCTTCTTAAATGTGACTCCACTTGGATTTCATCAATAATCCATACAGGATTACCAAGGAAAACAAGATGCCAATGTTGTTGTTCAGAGTCAAATGTACTTTAACTGATATACCATGTTTAATAAGTGTTAATCTGAAGTTTTGCCAAAATGTGATTGCAGCCTGAATGAAATAAAGTCATTTTGAGGCAGAAATAACCTTTCAGTCAATAAGTTGAGGCTCCGTTTCTGAAAATATTCAGGGCCCCGAAACAATACAAGTGTACCAAAGTTTCATGCTTCTGTGAAAAAATAAAAAAATTTCACATATCATCTGGACTAAAACTTAATTTACATGATTGTTAATAAGAGTCAACTAAATATATAATGCTACATGATCAATACAAGGCTTCAAATAGACCTGGTGATCGGTATTGGCCAATACTGCTTCCAGCGATCAGCCCCAAAAGTCCTCTAGTCGCAGACATCCTCCCCTGTTGAGAGATGGCCTCTCTATTTTGGTTTAGATAGCTTCCTTCGTTGTTTCATTTCACCATTTGTTCTCCCTGTCCATGGGTATAAACATTGTTTTCCTTGAAAGAGTGTCTAATATTGGTAACCTGATCATTGACCCTTCTGTGATGAGTTTGTGTAGTGGTGCTTTAGTTTCCCCAAAATACAGGTCTGCTGGGTTTTTTTTAGGGATGCACCGATCCGATATTGATTTCGGCTATTGGTCTGATTCTAACCGCAATTGCTGGATCAGGTATTGTGAGAATGTGCTGATCTATTCACTTCAGTTACGCGCGTGGTAGACCAGAACATTTTGCTAGGAGAGCTAACGTAGCATTTTTGGAGTCTTTAGCAAGCAAAATCTAAGAAGCAAAAAGTAATTAATGTAATTTATTTGTAAGAAGCTGGCTCAGTATTCTCAGTAACAATATAATGGCATAGACGGCAAAGAGACCGTAGAAGACATCAGAGGAAGCGAGGAAGTGACTGGACAGTAATAGTAAATATGTGACTGGCTTTTATTCGTTGGCGTGAGCTAAAAGAGCAAGACAGATGCCAAGCCGGTTAGCTTTCTGTTGGACTGGTTGGTATTAACTTATTAGCTGGTTTGCTGTGTCTTGTATTTTTTTATGCATGCTTGATGTTTGCCTGTGTTAGCAAAGTAGTTTTTGAATCACAACAAATGCACATGCGCAACTGTGAATTACAAATGGTAACTTAGAGGCGCCAAATCTTACATAATGTTTCCTTACATATGATGAATGATTCCTAGTCTTTTCCTCACAGTGAGGAATAAATCATATTCGTTTTTCATTGGTATCTGTTACTCGGAATCAGCCGATACCCAAAGACCAGACATCGGTATCTGTATGTAGACAGCATACTAGATTGCTTTTCTTGTTCTTGTGTATCTATCGCAGCATGTTGCAATGTTGTTGCAATTTTCCTAAGTCTGTGTCCCAATGTTGTTGTGTTTACTCTTCTTTTCCTCATCACCCGTAGTGTTGTGGTGTTCTTCTTGCATCTTGTGGCTCTTTTCACAATGGTCAAGTTTGGATATCAACAAGCTTGTAAGTGCGTTCTTCAGGTGTTTATGTGCTTTCTCTTGGGCTTGGTTACTTGTTGAACAGTTGAAGACATTCAATAGAAATTAATAGAAGTAATCAAAAGTAGTTGTTACTATTGCTTTAAATAGTTATAATACTGTTGCATTTGAATAGGGTAAGTCACCTTCCCAACACTGTATGTGATGTACTGTATAGATACTGTATGTATGTTTTAGAACTTTCATTGATTACTTTTGAAGCTCTTCATGGCCTCTCTCCCTGTTACAGTATCTCTCAAAAGTGAGTACACCCCTCACATTTTTGTAAATATTTGATTATATCTTTTCATGTGAAAACACTGAAGAATGACACTTTGCTACAATGTAAAGTAGTGAGTGTGCAGCTTGTATAACAGTGTAAATTTGCTGTCCCCTCAAAATAACACATCACACAGCCATTAATGTCTAAACCGGTGGCAACAAAAGTGAGTACACCCCTAAATCATTTTTGTTGCCAGCGGTTTAGACATTAATGGCTGTGTGATGTGTTATTTTGAGGGGACGTGAAGTTTCATTGTTGACGCGTCGTTACAGAAATGCTGTTTAAGGGAGAGATAACAGACTTTGTATTAAGAACATTTCTGGTTGCTCATTTCTAAATGCATGCAATACATGAAATGCTTGGGGCAGTATCGCTTCCACTGTCTGCCATGACTGCTTGACTGTAAAGCTTGATTTATACTCCTCCGTAGGGTCTACGCCGTAGGCTCCGCACGTAGCCATGCATTTATACATGTGCGTCGTTGTTCCGTAATTCTGCAGTTACAGCCCCACGCTAGTCGCAGTAGCGATACAGCGTCCACTGTGTTGACTTTTGCCGGTCAAGCTAACTTCCGGTTTAGCGCTGCGCTAACATGAATTAGGGTAAAACTGTAAACGTGCGGCTGGTGTAGCCTTTTGAAATGTTACCGACCGAGTGGATCACATTCTGATAGCGAAAAGGGGCATTTCGTTCGGGTTGCGATGGTCAAATATATTGATCCACCATGTTAAAGCCGCCGTTTTGGCCTCTAGTAAATGTTACTATAAAGCACGTGGTACTTCCTGTCGGCTCGGAGGTATTGCAAGGCTACCCAGCCGACCAATCAGAGCTTAGTCCGTGTCGACTTGACGTGTAGTTACAGTTTTGAGGAGGTGCACGTCAGGCGACGTAGCCTCTGCGTAGCCCCATAGCCTACGCCATCACCTTCGCCGTCGATTTGACGCGGAAGTACACTTTAGACTACTCATAAAGAAGAAGCCTTCCTGCGAGAAGCGGAAAGCAACGGAGAAAGAGGCTAACAGCAGAACGCTTTTTAGTTTTTACAAGTTTTGTACGCTATTTCATCACTAATAAAGGTTTTGAGGCAAAATAATCCTCTGTGTAGAACTTGAATATTACCAGTTTTACGAAAGTTGACGATTCCAAAATCAAAGGGGGTACTCGTAGGGTCGTGCGGACGTCCACGTGTCTCCCGATTTTATGGCATCAACTGATCTACTGCGCATGTGTTGAACGAGTCCACCAAGCTGACTCCAGAAAGTAATATATACAGAAGTAGTCCGCGTCCGCAGCTGTCCGTGTGCACGTCCGCTCCAGAGTATATTCGAGCCTGTGCATTCAGACCAAATACGATTTTAATCCTCTCAATGCTTTTCTTGTGGGGGGTTTATCGTTGAACTACTGCCAATTTTTCACACACAACGCGGTAATGCAAATAAACACAACCCACGTTTACTACAGCTGTATGTACACAAAGTCAACATTTTGCTGGGATTTAATTGCAAAACACAGATCAAACTGATGCCGAAATAACTACAATGTGATGCCGATTTGTTAAACATGAATTCATGCTTTGTCAGGTCTGTCAGGAAGACCGCAGGACAACAACTTTTAAAATGTTTGTTTTCTGAATGGAGTTTGGATCGATCAGGGCTACGTTTTGCTAACTTGCTCACAGTAAAGTACGATAGTTGAAATAAAGTAACGGACAGTAACAGTAAAGTAACAGTATATTTTCTGAACTCACCAGGTAATTCAACTTGCTCGCTTTCTTTTCTCCAACAGAGCTCTGAGTGCCAATCAACACTAACAACAACACTGGAGCTGGATGTGCACGGAAGCTCCCTGCCAAGAAGCTCCAGTGAAGATAAATCAATGTTGTAATCCCAAAAACTAAAGTCAAAGCTGATTTAATAAAAGCATTTTACTCTGAGCTCCTCCTGCGAGTAAACGGCGTAGTTGTTTATTTGTTCAAAAGCTGCAGCGCTGCTCCTGGCTCTGTCCTCGGCTTTTCCCCGCTGCTTAGTAGTTCTCCGTCGGCCAGCGGTGTCTTACTTCTCTGCTTTGCCTGGTCCTCTGCACACAACGCTCTGAAGCCGTCGGTGACATCCGGATAATCTCGACGCTGATAGGCTATGGTGACTCAGAGACATGAGACTTTCTCACTCAAGCTGAACATTTTCAACTCACACGAAGGCCTCCGCGTTGCCGACAGCGCCCCATCTGCACCAACAGGAAATCTTGGCTCTCCGTGTCTTTGCATTGACTTTGTATGTAAACGCACTGTCCCGAACGCTCACTTTGCTTTTGGTGTGAAATCAGCATTAGACTTACTTCCTCAGTTTTATTCTCCAACGACCAGACATTAGGCTGTTGCAATAATCTCATCACGCCTGGATTATTGCAACAGCCTTTTCACCTGTTTAACCCAAAAATCTATTGATCGACTCCAGACTGTCCAGAACTCAGCTGCCAGGCTTTTAACCAGAACAAAGAAATATGACCACATCACTCCTATTTTAGCTTCATTACACTGGCTCCCAGTATGTTTTAGAATTGACTTTAAAATTCTTGATCACTTTTAAAGCTCTTCATGGCCTCTCGCCTTGTTATATTTCTGACCTTTTAGTCCCATACGCACCAGCACGTACCTTGAGATCCTCGGGCAGAGGTCTGTTGTCTGTTCCAGAGTCTCGACTGAAAACTAAAGGGGACAGAGCGTTTGCTGTCAGGGCCCCGAGGCTCTGGAACAGCCTGCCCGAGGAAATCAGGTCGGCTGAGTCAGTGAACTCTTTTAAGTCCCTTCTTAAACATACTTTTATAGGAGAGCCTTTCCCGATCTTATTTGACTTTATTTTATCCTTTTATTTTATTCTATTTTACTAATTTTATATTAATCTGTATTTTAGTCTTTCAATGTTTTCATGCTCTTATCTTGTTTTTTTGTATTATTCTTTACACTTGTTAAAGCACTTTGTAACTTGTTTTTGAAAAGTGCTCTACAAATAAGGATTATTATTATTAGTAGCCAGGATAGGCTGGGGAGTGGAAAAGCCTCTAGTTCTCATTAAAATGGTTTTACAGTGGGTTATTTCCAAATGACAACATTTTGTATTGCAGTTTTGACTGTAGAAAACGTAGCTACATTATTTACAGAAGTGTGGATGTCCATTTACATCAGTAGGGCTTATTACCTTCATCTGTCCTTTTATCATCATCAGGATCCTGAAAAAGCAAAAGACATTAAAGTTACAGTAAAGATAAGTTAACCCCCAGACATATCATCACAAAGCCCTAACATACCAGGAGCTGAAACCAGAGTCCCCTCAGCCAGCTGGTCCTGAGGCTCTCTGCAGTAACAAGTTCCCAACAGCCTCAGGACAGCAACACCAACTCAAGCAGACCAAACCAAATTATCAGCAAGCAGAAAGAAAAAATGTTGAATACTGAAATGAAATGAACAAAACACAAAGTAAATTACAATGTTATCTGACCCTAAAAATTCACACTGGCAAATTACCTGAGCACAATAAAAACTAAGAAACATGTTACAACATACAGACTGAGTGAACACAGCAAGAGGAGAGACTCTGCTCCCAGTGTGACACGGGACAGGTAGAGACAGAGCTGCACTTTCTAACCTCATGCCCCAAATATAAAACACAAAGACAAAAACACTTTGCAAACTTTTCACAAATATACCTCGAATTCAAATCTATATCAGACTCACAGAAACTCCAGGACAACCACTGGAAACTTAGACTAATAAATAATACTAGTTATACTATTAACTACTAATAATACTAGTAATAGTACAAATTTTCAAATTATTATTTTTGATTATTTGATATTTTAGTAATTGTGTTTTTAAATCTCACATTGATAGATTTTTTTTAAATTAACCAAATTTTGTTTTTGTCTATTAATATATACACACACACACGTTTAAGGTTTTATCTATTTATTTTATTTAAATTTTTATTATATATTTTTTAAACATACACGCATATACATGTACACGCCTACTATTTTATTTATTATTTTAATTTAATATTATTTTCATTTTCTAACACACGCTTATTGTTTTATTTTAATATTTACTTTTACGTATTTTTATATGTTTTATTAACACCCAAACACAACTTTCACTGTTTTATTTCCTTATTTAATGAAATGTATGAAATTCATTGTCCTTATGTAATTTATATGTAGCTTTGGCAATATTGTTGCTAGACATTCATGCGAATAAAGCTAATTTAAATTTGATAAGCGAATCGTTAATAAATACAGTTAACTCATTTAATCCACTGGATGGTTGTGTTTATGCAATTGTGGTGTAGAAACAGCGGCACCAACATTTTTAACCAACAGGAGGCGGTAAATAATGAACGGACTCCTTTGTTTGTGCGTCTCGCCGGACACAATTTGTAGCTGCACCGAAACCCAAAACCACGCCGCTCGATCGAGCAGGTTCTTCCGCCTAAAAACACAACGTTACAGCTGTAAAAGTAAATTAAAGATGATTTACTGGATGAAGAGGAACAAAGGCGGCTCGGGGATTCCCGACAGCGTCAGTATCATGTCTAAGTCGGAGATCTTGAGAGAAATCGTCACCGAGAAACTGACAACAGCCGCGCAGGAAATCTTCGCGGTTGTGGAGAGAACCGTAGCCGGGTACGAGGAGGAGGCTTCGGGTCTGAGGCAGGAGATCGACCGCAGAGGAGGCAGCTGGAGTCTGTCCTGCAGCTCGGGTCAAACTACAGAGAAGAGGTCAGTGGCTCAGTTATTGCAGGAAGAAATAACGCTGTTAAGTTGCACAGTCACAAACTTCAGGAACTGCATTGGAAAAACTACTAATTTAAAGTTTCTTTGCTCGCTGACAAACCTGCAGACTCCTGAGGACATAGAATGAAAACGTACACACATTTTCATGATGTGACTTACAAATCGGCACAGAAAAAGCTAAACTTAATGTTGTAAATAATGTTGTTTCATGGTCCCTACTGTTGACCTGCAAATAATGGGACGTAACTTGCTGGACTTTGTTTTCTCGTTATTACCGTGGCAAAGCCTGGTTCTGTTCGATGAAGCTGTTATGAAAACACAAGTGGCTTTCAGCTGTTGATAGCAGCATTTTTATGGAACATCTGTGAAATAGTCATCTGAGTTTCTTTTTGCTTCTGATTGAAACAGAAGACCTGATCCCACGTCAGGAAGGCCATGAGACTGTTGTGAGGTTGGAAGAAGAGGAGGAGGAGGAGGAGCAGACACAGCAGTCAGGTGGGTCTTGACAATTTTCTAAAATGAGGAAAAATTATGAGGAACGAGTCAATTAGAAGAATGGGGGAAATTATAGTCCTTATTATGTTTAGTGTGTAAAATAAATTAACTTAACTAACCAAAGCTGTCAGATGGAGAGGAAACCGTGTGAATTATTATCACAGTATCAAAATGTACTGAAACGCACGCTGAAGTCATTTTACATAAGTTGTATATTGAAAACCACAAATACAATCAAATTAATTAAATTAAATAACAGCCAACAATACCTTTTATGTAAGATATATCAAATGTGTATTAGTATTAAAGATGTTATTTAATATATATTGTTATGTGAGTAAATGCACAGTTATATAAATACATAAATAAGTCTGAAGAACACAGTGATTTTAATTGCAGTACACTCAGTTGTTGGGCAAAGTCTGCATATTTAGTTTTATTTTATGTGTTTATTTAACTTTTAGCGTTTTTAATATTAAAAAATTCCAATAAATGATATGAAAAAAGATCAATTAGTTGAGCGACATAAAATTTAACTATATAATTTTGGATAGTTAATTAATAGTTTAGTAGTTTAACAAACTGTTATGAGAATAAAAAGCCTGTCTTCTTAAATGTGACTGTTCGCTGGTTATTGTGGGGTATGAGAAGTTGTTATAGGCACTTTTTATTTTACAACCTTTGACTCTATCCGTGTCCAGATGTGGAGGTCAGTGTGAGCCCGGGCCCGTGGCATGATGATGATTGTGATGATGATGATGAAGATGAAGAGGGTGACGGTGTAGAGGAAGAGCAGCAGCTGTCAGCGCCACCAGCTACGAGCCCCAGACGAGAAGATCTGAAGGACCCAGACCATCAAATGAAACCAAGGTCACAAATCTCAGTACCACTTGAGACCACAGCTTAAGCAAAAGTATGTGAGTGTCTGTGTCTGAAACAGTTTGCGTCCAGGGTGGGAGGGGTCCTGGAGTCCTGGAGGCGTACAGGTCCTAAAGAGAAGGAAGGTGACAACCAATCACCTTCTTGCTGCGGTGATAATGATACGCTGCAGCCTGCCCTCGTCCCTGGCAGTGGCAGCAGCATACCAGATGGTGATGGAGGAGGTGGGGGGTGAGATGGTGGACTGTGGCCAAGCGGTGGTGTCAGGTCTCGCCCATTGTAATTCAAAGTGACAGTAAAACTGGTTCAACTCACAGCAGAATGCAAGTCAACAAACGTAAACAAAACAAACAGAGTGCACCAAAATACCACGGCTGCCCTGAGCAGCGCCATCTGTTACATTTCTTTACACTTTCATTTTTTACTTTCATGTGGTCAAGTGCTGTCGGATTGTAATCCGATCACCCAAAACGCATTGTAATGCCAGGTATAAACTGCCTCTTAGTATCTTTTGCTTGCTTGCTTTTAGCTGGTGATGTTATTTAGTTAATCCTCATTTAATAAAAAGTAACAATTCTAATTCATTTGCTCGTCTATGACAGTAAACTCAAACATTTTGGGTTGTGGACAAAACTAGACATTTGAGGACGTGTTAATTGATAATGCAAATTAAATGTAGCCTTGGCACGCTTATTAGCTTAGCATGGTTGCTAAGGATGGTTGTTTGGTTGTTGCTTGGTGCGTTGAGCAGCACGGTGCTGGTGATAGCAACATGTTGTTAGGTGGTTGTTATTAGCTAGCACATTGTTAGCTGGTGATGTAGTACTGTAGCCAAATGAAAGGAAATTTTTATTCTACATCATACAATGATATTTTGGACAACAGTTTGTTTGTCCACAACACAAAGCAGCTCCATAAATTATTGGTTTTCCCAGTTGGAGAAACTTGACTGGCCTGTACAAAGTTCTGACCTCAACTTCATCCAGCTTTGACATGAACTGGACTGTGAGCCCGATCTGGCAGTGCTGGACCTCACTGAAACCTCTGGTGTCTGAATGAGAACAAATTCCTGCAGCTGGTTCAACATCTGGTAAAAGCTTGAAACCAGCAGTGTGGAGACTGTTGGAGCAGCAGATTGATGAACCACACATGGGTGTAATGATGCTTCAGTGTCCACAAACCTTTAGTCATGAACAAGTACAGTATGTTCACTAAAGTGATAATCGATAGTCAGAAGTGATATAACTGCAATAAACACTAAGCTGTCTTACTTAATAACCTTCTAACAACCTTCATCCTCTAGGTCCATTTCCCCCACAGCCTGGTCTGACAGGAAAAGGGCCAGCAGACCTCAGATCAGTGACACACAGAGCCACATAGATCTCAAAATTCGTTTCCTGGAAGACTCAAAGATCAATGTGCTCTCAACAAGCGGTACATTTCAGAGACTTATACGTAATGATTAATTAGTGACTTCATTAATACTTTATCTGCACAGAGGCTTCTGTTGGAAAGACTGACTTATCCTCACAATAAATTGTTGTCTGTTTTAGGGCTTTATAAACTTCCGGTGCAGGAGCTGCAGTGTCCTCGTGGCCTGCAGGAGACGGACTTCCTGGACCTGCTGAGGTCCACCTTCCCTCAGCTGGCTGATCAGAAACAGTTTGACTTCTGCACATTTGGCAGGAGCAGGATGCCCCAGCCTCTGACAGTAAATACACTGACACCAGAGGAGATCTACAAGCGGCTCATCGACGCACGAAAGACTTACCTCTTCATCCGACTGAAGGTACTTTGGACTAAAAACAGCATGAAACTGTATGTCTACACAGGACAGTGTCCTCTTTGCATCATCAGTGTCGTTTTTAAAGCAAAATATCCATGAAATTAACGTGTTGCAGTTCTTCTTGTTGTTGTGGCATTTAAATGACAGCAGGGTAACATTTGTTACAGAAATATATTTTCTGAACGTCTTTCTGTGTTGCCCTTTGGTCATTTTGAAATTGTTTGATTTTTTGGGAACAACCTGTACAGACTGAAGAGGATCCTCAGAGCAGCAGTGAAGACCGTCATCCGTTGAGAAACGAGATGATTCTCCATCCAGCTCTGCTCCACGTCAGCTGATCAAAACCCAAATGAACCCCAGGTAACTACAAACTAAAGAGAACGACACATCTGAGGCACCTTCTCCCCACACTCACACAATACCTAAACCTCTGGCTCCCTCTGCAAACACACCGGCTTGCCCGCTCTCTTGTCTCTCTCTCACTGTATGTGTCTGCTCCCCTGACTTTCTCCATCAGCATGTGTCATAAAGTCGCCGCATGCCGGCATGTTAATGACGTAGCCTATCAAACGAATAAAAACATCTTCACTTATGTTTTCACCGTTGCTTACCTCCATAGAGGATCTCCTCCTCTGTGTTCACTCTTGTTAATAATTTTAATTTTACATGTAAATTTAGCTGCATTTTTGATTACACAATCACTTTATCAAAACCCATCATTCTTTGTGTATGATACTTTTCACATAGCTGGGTGTCCCCCTCAGGAGAATCTTAGGGAGTTTCCCATTTGGCTCAAAAATGCCATCATCTCACAGGTGGTTCCTTGAACCGCTATTCTTGGCATTAAATGCTCATTATCTCCCATTCTTGACGCTGATGTTACTTGTTGGGTATTCCCTATATTTTGTTTACAGATAATTACTCATACTCCTCTATTCCCCTGCTTCAGTCTGTCAGTATGCTAGTATGCTCACAGATAATTGCATCCCCTTGTTGCACCTGGATCCTTTTCTCTTAAAAACAACAGCATGATCGTTGATCCGTGACCTTGATCTAAAGCCTCAATATAGTTCGGAACGGACGGGTACACGGACAGCTGCGGACACCACCGACTACTGTTTATACTAGTGTTGGAGTCAGCTTGGTGGACTCGTTCCAGCGAACCTTCGCGGACACAGAAAGTAAATCCTTGTCTTAGAGCTTAAACTGCCAGTAATAGTTATCTTTGTTTAAAGCAAATGATTATACATTATTATACAGAGTGAAAGATTAAACTTTTGGAACACAATTTGAATACTCATATAATAATTGCAACAATGAAATGCTGAAAATAACAGCAAATACACAACACCACTGACGTCATCGTCTCTAGAAGTAGAATAGGAGCAGGAGCCAGAGCCTTCAGCTATCGGGCACCTCGGCTGGGAATTAACCCTTGTTTGGGTTTGGGAAGCATCCATATGATGTAATGTGCCAGTTTCTACAAACCTTTAGCCATGAACAAGTACAGTATGTTCACTAAAGTGAGAATCACAAGTCAGAAGTGATACGACTGCAGTAAACCCTAAGCTGTCTTATTTTGTTATTAACCTGCTAACAATCTCATCATTCAGATCCATTTCCCCAGAGGCCAGTCTGAAAGCCCAGCAAACCCAGATCAGGACACAGAGCCACATAGATCTCAAGATTCGCCTCCTGGAGGACTCGAAGGAAAATATGCTTCTAAAACGGGTACATTTCCAGTACTTTATGACGGATTAGTGGTGAATTAATAAGTTATCTGTAGAGGATTCTGTGGAAAGATAACCTCACAATAAATTGTTGTCTGTTTTAGGGCTTTATAAACTTCCAATACAGGAGATGCAGTGTCCTCGTGGCCTGCAGGAGGCGGACTTCCTGGACCTGCTGAGGTCCACATTGCCTCAGCTGGCTGATCAGAAAACAGTTTGACTTCTGCACATTGGAAGGAGGAGGAGCTAGCCTCTGACAATAAAACACTGACACCAGAGGAGATCTACAAGCGGCTCATCGACACAAGAAAGACTTACTCTTCATCCGACTGAAGTACTTGGACTAAAAACAGCATCAAACCGTATGTCTTTACACTGGACAGTGTCCTTTTGCATCATCAGTGTAGCTATTAAAGCAAAATATCCATAAAATTACAGCTTTTTCCCAAAGCGTTGGTTTGATGAAGGTGTTGCAGTTCTTTGTCGGCATTTGAATGACAGCAGGCTAACATTGTTATAGAATAATATTTCGGAATGTCTTTCTGTGTTGCCCGTTTGTCATTTTGAAATTATTTGATGTTTTTTTTTGGGAAAAACCCTGTTACAGACCAAAAAGGAGCCTCAGAGCAGCAGTGAAGATCCTGTAGATGATTATCCATCCAGCTCTGCCGCCACGTCAGCTGATCAAACCCAAATGAACCCCAGGTAACTACAAACTAAGAGAAGACACATCTGCTCACAGGTCCAGCACTGTGCAAAGGTTTCAGGTAGGTGTGGAAAAGTATGAATTCTTTCAAAGGCTAAACGTGTGAGAAAATTGATGACAACACACAATAAGATTTGCCTACACTCTGTTTGTTCTTATTCATTTTCTATTTCTTAATGATGCAAACAGTTCCACTCAACGGTTTTGTCCAACATCTGTGCAAAGAAAGGCAAGGGCACAAGACGACACAAATGCACCATTGTGTCTATGTAGATTCTCAGTCATCAGGTCATAGTTATCCAACGAAGGTTAAAGTCAAGGGCAATTTCCAACCTACCATCCAAGAAAGGAAGGCTGTGACATCTCTGAGCAAGGATCAAAAATCACTATCTACCTGCTGACAAAGGAAGATGCACTGTAGTCCTTAACACAA